CCCCAAAACCCCAAAACCCCAAAACCCCAAAACCCCTTTACATAGAAAATTATTGATAATATAAATTAAGCATGAACGGGTTTGGCTATGGCTCTATGTATGGATCTCCTTATGGTTATGGAATGGGAGGAGGGTACATGAACAACTACAATAACCAGAATAACCAAGATCAAACTCCTGAGGACCAACAAAGCTTTACCAATACCATACGAACTTTGGTATCAGGGCTTAGTGCTGTCACAGGAATTTCCTTCGGACTCTCAACTTTATTTGGATTGCTATATAAAGCAATAAAGCTACTTAATATTTTCAAAGGCAAGAAAGAAACAGAACAGCTTCTTGATGCTGTCTGGAAACAAACTGTCAGAAAACATTCCAGGAGAGGATTCTGGATGATGTTCAAAATTCTTATTGTTGCTATCATCTGCTGCTCGATATACCTCTTTTCCCACTCATTGTCGAAGAAGGAAGAGGAGTCCAAACGTCAGCAAGAGACTGTTCAAGAGAATGAAAAGGAAGAAGACAAAGAGATTTCAATAGAAGACTTTATGTTCCAAAGAAAATCTGGTGAGTCTTGTTCTCTTCTAGTTCTTAAATTCTAGCTTACTTCTTACGTCATCCTTTGTAATTATCTAACCTATAACTTCTAGTTAAACAAAACTCTGAAATTATTGATGAAGAAGTAAATGAAGAATCAACACAAGGAGAGGAAGAGAGTATTAAGCTTGGAAGTGTATATGAGCTTAACGATTGTAAGCTAATATAACTTTCACATCTAATCTTATATAGCTGATAATCTGGTCAACTAAAAATTAGGAGAAGCATCTTAATGCACTATGCGCCTAAAGAGCAAACCTCAAACTATAATAATTCCTTCAGTAACTAAATCTTTTACAACTTTTCATGTGCACAATTTTTTGTGCTAGAGATCTGACTCATTTCAATTTACTTAAAATTTAGGGGTTTTGGGGTTTTGGGGTTTTGGGGTTTTGGGGTTTTGGGGTTTTGGGGTTTTGGGG